AAATGATACAAACAGGGAAGTGGTAATTATAATCTTTGACCAAGCCACTGGAAGCACAATATGAAGTCAAGTGGCCACAAATAATTAATAAGGCCTCCTGTTGGGTGTATACGTGTGTGTGTGTGTGAGTGTGTGTGGGGTAAGGAACAGGGGGAGGGTGAGTGCTGACGAATGCCTCTGTTGAACATTATTCTATCGGCTCTCTAAGTGATTGTTTTTACAAAAAAAAACTCCAAACAACATTAAACGCCACTGCGATCTCACAAACGCCACGTTACACACTGCTGTGAAGATACCCACCTTTCAACCCCACATTTAAACAGGAGCTCCGGGGTGGTGGAAGCCTGTCTCACGATGCCCTTCAGATCCAATAAGGGCTCAAGTTTCAGAGACATTAGTGCACTGAGGCAGTTTTTAGAAGACCACACTCCTCCCTCCCCTCTGTCCTCTTCAAGTGCCCTCATTCAGGTCAAGAAAAGAAAAAAAAGGGCAGAACCATTTCTCTGTCTCGTGGACCATATCATTTCCTGTTATCTGGCAGCAGGAATAATGTGATAATATGCATTTTTAATAGTCCATCCAGTTCAGAATATTCAATAACCCTTCACCTCTGCGCATCCTACGAGTCTGCGCTTTATCAGTCAAACTTTCAGTTAAAAAATTGAGCTGGAAATAGAATGAGAGGGAGGGTGCAGAGAGGGGAAAAAAGGGTGTAATGGATATCCTAAAAATGCTGTGACAATGATTGAGTCTCAAGAAGCCTCTGACTCACAGCCTACTTTTGCTTCCTTTACCCCCAAAACACTAGAGGTAGATGGATGGCTCTGGGTAGCTCACACCGACAGTAAGTGATTGGCCGCTCTGTCAGAGGTCTAATCTTCAACCAGAGTTGGGGAGTAGGCTGTGCGCTCAGATCGGATTCCTGTGATACAAAATTATGGATCTGTTGCAATACAGCTATTAGCGGTTGACAGTCAGAATCGCAGCTTTGCATCATTTGCAATAAATTCTTCACCAATAGGTCGCCTACGTGTAATTTCAGACTAAAAATAATTGGGTTGGGTGATTTTTGTATGAATATGGGATAATTTGATCATAAAAGTAGTGCATTCGCACAATTCCAGCACCATGTGATTTCTCCCTTTTTCTAATGGATTTTCGGCTTTGACACACGGCAATATGGATTGGTAAGGCTATATGAGACATTAGAGATTCAAGTACTTTATGTCCTATTTATTCCTTATGTGCCAAAGGCCCCTTGTCTTGAGATATGACCAGCTCAACGCAAGAAACCTTTAATAAAATAAAAAAAGTAAAAAGGGGAAAATAGAGATTTACAGCGGCCCATTTTGACAGTAGACTTGATATAAGGTGTTCATAACAAGTTTTGCATTTTGTTCTTGTTCCCCTCACACACATTTTAATCATATTTTATGTGATCTATGTATGCGGCACTCATCCTCTCGATGTCACACAACCTCTCCAATGTGTCTTTCTTAAACAGATTGCTACAATACTTGTAATGATGGGCCTTCCCAGCTGTGCTTGAGAAGAGGGGAAGGTAGCAGCCGGCTCTGGTATTACCATAATACCCACTCCCTCCCTCTGTTGTCCCAAGGGTCCGTGTGGGGCTGCACAGGGACGTGGGGTAACTCTGCTGTGGAGGGGACTCAAGTGCCTGCCGGTCCTGGAGGCTGTGTGTGTGAATATGTGTGACTGTGACAGGGCTGAACCTGCCTGTGGGCAATGTAATAAAAGCGCCACACTCTGCTGGTGGTGATGGTGGCAGCGCTGCTGTATCTGCAGAGGAGGGGATAAATATAAAGCAGGCCCGTGTGAAAGAGACGGCCCTCGAGTCACAGCTTGACTTACATCCTAATAATTAGGGCCCCTTCCAATAAAACAGGGATTTGTGGCCATGCATGTCTTTTCCTTGTGTTTGCCGCTGCAGTGGTAGAGAGGCATGAGCAGCTGAAATGTCTGGGTGTACCAGACGCTTTGAGAGTCTTAAAATCCAGCACAGATTAGCAACTCATGGTTAATTTGCTTATTTTAGTTTAACATCAGAAAATATACTAATTTGCTAAACTTCTTTTTCAAATGATTTCTCCACTAGATTTGTTCTCTTACAGTAAATACTACAAATGGAAAAAAATAATCATGTTCTTGCATTTGTATGGAGCCCAAACCTTGTGCACAAACACAAAGTTACACATGCCATTTGCCACACACTGCTGTCTCTTGATAGTGAGTAATCAATGCATGAGCCAGACAGGTTGCTGTTGCATGTTATCTCAAACCATCTATTGTGTCCTGGTACAGTCTTATGTATCCTTTCCTCTGCTTTACATCTTTGCTTATTTTACCACATTGTTAGATTCAGATATTATTGTGTTTAGAAATAGGTTAGAAATTATCATGAAACAGTCTCCTGTAGTTTTCTCTCTTAAATAAATACAAGAAATGAAGGACATTTGACACTTTTGAAATTTTTGCCATTTTACCTAATCTCAGGCTCCTCAGCCATGACTTAATTTTCTGTATATTTCACTCTGACAACTGCATTAGAATTTCCAAAAGTTGAATTTGGACAGAGAATTGTACTACTGGTTATTGGTGGGAGATGGAAACATTGGGTCTGGGTGGGGTGGTGGTCCAGGCAGGGGGTATCAGGCTAATTAAAGCAAGCATTTGTCAGAGATTAAGCTTTAAAGAGAAAAGGTCATCTGAGCACCAGGGCACAAACCGCTTCGCTGATGTGCTCTAAGGGCAGTCTAAACCTTTCCAGGCTAAATGGTAAAGATGCTATTTGCCATAGACGGGGGAGGGGAGTGAGATCCCAACCAGTGACAAGACTGACACTCAGGTCATTGGTTCTTTACTGTCCATTACACATGCTGGTCAAATCTGGCCATCGGTGTCATTTAGGGATGAAAAATAAGTGCTGGGACAAGATCAATAGACGCAGCCATCTCTACCAGCTGTGATTAATTGACTGTCAGCAATTAATGACTGGCCTGTTGCAAAGCAATGCCATCTCGGTTGGGATATGGTTATTTATTTAATTTCAGTCTGATATCAGTTATTTTAGGGGGAAAGAGAAACACCTGAATATATTCATTAACCACTCCTGCAGGAATTTGCAGGTTTACTGAGACACGCCGGAAAGAATCTTTGACAACATCCAGTATATCAGGTGCTCTTTGAAGTCATTTGCAACATTGAGAGGAATGCGAGCTTTAATAAAAGCTTGCAAAGATCCACATAGTTTTTTTTAGCCCATCAGAAATAGTGACTGAACATATTTTAATGCCATCTTGCTTATATAAACCTGTTCTTCCAAAAGTCTACAACATGATGACCTCATTTTACAAATATATAATATGTTAGTCTATAACTTACTTATCATTTCATCATGTTCATTTACTTCAAACATTCTCAGAAAAATGGACACTTTGAAAAATATATGAAAACAAATGTGGCTTGCGATCCGCTTAACAGTTCACTGAAAACAATCAAACAAGTGCTAGTGATGTTTTTAAACTGAGATCGGTGTATAAGGTTATTTTGGAATCAGTCAATTCTAATCGTATTAGATCCTGAGAAGATGTCCTGGTTGGAGATACAATAAAGCACCAGACATGTAGATTCAGATATGAGTGATGACCCTTGAGGGTTAAACTGTGGTAGAGATGTAATTTAAAATATTTTTTTAGTAGAATTTATGCTAATAATGGACCACTCATAAATTACATCATTTACCAGAGACAGAGGATCTCAAAATAACGCAATCTTCTTTATGGGAATGCCTTGAGTTATTGACTGTGATATTAGTAGTATCAAAGAGAGTTAATTTAATTTATAAGTCAATAAAGTCATTGTTTTACAGACACAATATAGATGAAGAGTCAAAGCTAAATATCTTACAGACTTTTTTTAGTTCTTATCGAGCGCACTCTCACCTAGTGTAACCTAATTTTCTCTGTAAGAAGCATACAGTGAGCCCCTGGCTGCCTCAAACTGTGCCAGGAGTTTGTTTTGTATATTACACATGACACAAAAGAAATAACTCGAAGAACAGCTATTTTTATTTACAAGGCAACGCAATTGCGACCGTCTGTATGCTGGTGTGCTTCTGAAAATCTGTTTACTTATACTTATGCATGTTTAACTTTTTTTGCCAGAGGAAACCCTGAGAACGTCTTATAGGATTATTTCTTGTTATCAATATTTTTTGCATATTTTGCAGCATTTGATTCTGAGTTTGGACTGAGTGTGCATGGTTGTTTGTATCTGTGCTGGACCTGTGATGGACTGACAGCTTGTCCAGGGTGTATCCTGCCTTTTTCCTGATGGGAGCTGATATTGGCACCTATCTCTCCTTGACACTAAATTAAAACTGCTATCGAAAGTGTATGGCGAGTAGGATGAGACATGTATATCCCATTTTAATTTTAGCATCTTTCTTGATAGCAGCTTTCAATTTATGTTATTATATTTAATCAAATAATTAAACTTTTGAAAATACTAGTTTTCTACCATAACTAAGGCCACACTTACGCAGGAAAACTCAAAACACCTCATCTTCAAGTTCCAATAGCACTCTTAAAATAAATTCAATTGCCAACCCCCACAAATAAGGCTTGCCCAAAGCTTGGGAATTGTGAAGTCATGAAAAGAAACAAACTGAGGTCAGCATTTTTCTATTACTCATGCTCGATTTGAATGACTATAGACTCAATACCGTGTAGCATAAATATTGAATACACAGTACTTTGTTCAATCAAACAAAACTACTTTATTACCCTGGTTTAAAGTAAATATATGAATCGAAATATATTACTTCTAATGCAGTTGACTTGCATTCAATAAGCGTGGGATATTAGCATACTCAGCTAAACGTTTTGTGAACAATAGGATAATCTATGCATACATTTTTGTATTGGCGAATCTATTTGCTTTTGGTCTTTATCGTTTTCCGTAGATCTGAAAATCGGCGCGCGGAGTAGCGGCGGTTGCTTACTGGTGGGAAACTTGTTCCTCCTCTTGTCAAGTGTGCTGTGTGTCCTGTGTCCCCACAAGAAAACATGGCCCTCTGTTACCAAGCTTCGACCCTTTCTCTAACTCTGCCGATTTCGTGTCAAATATGCCTCGGAAAGGTAACTACGGTGCTGCTTTTTTTGTGTGTAAATAAACGTTTACGTTAAATTAGCCGTTAAAAAGATGAACACGAGGAAAACTGTTAGTTTGTATCCGTTGCTACGATACCTGTGAACGTTGCAGCCGCCATTAGCCGAGACAGTTTTTTTTCCGAAGTCGATGGCACATATTGACACCAAAACTCCCCTCGTGTGTGCCTCTGTGCAGGTCAGACAGCCGGTTATTTGTGCCAACTACCACGTGTTCTGTTCAGTCTGCATGGAAATGTGGTTAAGGAAAGCCAGCCAGTGTCCCACCTGCAGAGTCCCCATTACCGCAGAGAACCCGTGCAGGGAAATAATCGGTGAGTAGCTCAACACGAACAAGTGACGGACAGAGAGAAAAGGTAACAAAAGACTTCACTTCCCAGTTGTAACTCCATTATATTCAGTGAAGTTTGTACTAAGTTTCATACTATTGCTTCGGCAAGCAATTTGACATATATAGGTATTCTCTTCCTATTTGTAGATACGTTTTTTAATGTAATTTAACGTCCCTGCCCATCATCATTTGAAGGAGGCATTGTTTTTAGGAAGAGACGTTAGAATGTTTGTTTACTTGAGTACATAAGTTGCACAAACCTCTGATTCTCATCCATTGATTGTTAGTTTTTTCTCTTTCAGATGCCCCACTATACTGTGTCTGCAAGTAGAACAAATTAGCAGAATTCAGATTTGTGTGTTTCTGTAAACACTAGGGTGGTCTGTTAACTGAAATGTTGCGATGGAATATTTAAGCAAGGGTTGAAAGCATGAAAGGTGTATTCACATTGAAAGTTTAGCATATGTACACCAACATAAACTTGAAAGTATCATATCACTTTTTTGTATTTTGAAGAGGAGTTGCTTAATTTCTCAAAGTTTTACTGTAGTTATAGTATCATTGAACCTTCATGGGGAAAAAAAAATAATTTGACCATTTCTCTGCTCCATTTTTTGTCTGTTCGTGTTTCACCCTGGTCATGGGTTTCTGTTAAAGGAGGAACAAATGAGGGTGACCACAAAGATAGTCCTTCAATGAGAAAATGTCTTAGGAAAACCAGAGGAGAACTGCTTTTTCAAGAGTATGAGGTAAGGGACTTGTGTTTTTTTTCTCTTCTTTTTATTTTCATTTTCATGAACACACTTAATCTTCTTACATTTTCACGAGTCACAAGAAAGTTGAGGCCTTTTTAAAATACTTATAAATGGGTTTATCACCACAAAATAGAATTTATTATTTATCAGGTCAAGGCAGGTTAGTAGAATTTCAACTACAGCCTCCATCCAGTACATTTTCTTTAAAAAAGTGCTGTAAATATCTGACCAAGCAGTTTTATTTTTGTATTATGTATTAAGATAACATGCTCATTTTATTGAGGTATTATTCAGACATCAGTGGAAATGAGAACACGACTTAAAGCCTGAATCTGGTAAATCCTGAATTATTTCAGATAACAGCACAGTAGCCACCTTTTTCCCAAAGTAAAAACTTTTTCCTCTCCTAGCAAATATATTCAACCCTGTGGTGAGCTTTTTTGTAAGCATAATGATTTTTAATAGTTACTTTTTGTGGTCTGCTGTTAATGTGACAAATTTTTATCCTTTTTTTTATGACAGGAAGAGTTGGAAGGGCTCATGAGGGAAAATGAGGAACTGAAAACAAGAAACCAGAGTCTGGAGGAACAACTGAGGACTGCTTTGCATCCCTGCAGTGTTGATACAGTGCAGACTGATGACAAAAGGGTTCCCCCCCATGTTGTGGAGGAATGGAAGAACAAGCTGCAAGCTGCCACAGATGTTTGCGATCAAATAAAGCTGGACATGGGAAAACTGAAAGAGGTACACAAAGTCTAAACATGAATTCAGTTTTCATTTGGACGGAAACTATAAACAGATTCCAGATAAACATTCTTTAAAGAAAGTATGAAAATGTAATTCAGAACTTCAATGTTACTCAAGTTTACTTTTGTACTTCAGGCAAATAAGACCTTGCGATCTCAAAATATTGACCTCGTACAGGAGAATATGAGATTGAAAGGAGAGGTGGCAAGCAGATCTCCACAGAAGTAAGTATGGATTTTTGTGTTTGTTGCTTTTTTCTGTTTTTTTTTCTTTTTCCGACTCTCATAATTCAGATCATTTTCAAGACGTGCGGTAATGCATCTTGAAAAATAACTGACAAAATGAAGAAACTTTTCCTTGTGAAACCGGAAAGGTCAAATTGGTTTTATTACATGCTTTTAGTTATTTAGGGACGGAGAAATAAAAGGTTTTGATGAACTGAAGTTTGCCAGAATACAGTGGCTGGCTCAGTGGTTTCCTTTGGTACCATCCAGTGTTGATAGGTTTCCCTCATGGCTGCCATAGCTTGAATTTGGATTTTTCTATTTGTCTTTTTTTATGTAATTACCTTAAGACTTTTATATTATTTCTCTTTTGGATGAGTGCAGGTATGTTTCTCTCTTCTGTTTCAGTGTAATTAAATGCAAATTTAATTGCGAAGGTTCCATCGTTTAAGGCCCAAAGTAAAAAGGTTGTATGTAGTTCCTTTAAGCAAACTGCCTTCTTAGTTTTCTGTCAAAATGATGTCTCCCCAGGTTTGGTCGATACACCGTGGCTGCTCTGGAAGCTAAAATCCTGCAGTATGAGCGTGATGTCGATCATTTGAAAAGGGCCCTGGAACGCAGTGATCAGTACATCGATGACCTGGAAACTCGGGTCAGAAGTTCTGATAAGAGGCACGTTGAAGTGCAGGAGCCTTGTGGGAACAGCAAGGCCGCTGCTGACACTTTCACTCAGCAACAGAAAGTCAACATGATGCTGAGAAGCTTGAGTGATAACGAGCGAAAGCTGATCTGCAGCAATCCAGAGGCCGAGGGCCGAACATTCTCCAGAAACAATAGTTTGGTCTTCTTGCCTTCTGCGGAGAAAGAGCTGGACAAGAATCTCTCTGGAGGAGAACAAAAAAACGAGGACTCCGAAAGCACCTCCTCCGACTTCTTACCCACCACTCCGTCCACGGCATTTCGATCCCTGACCCTCAGAAGTCCGGGCATCCGGGAAAAGAAAGTTGCATTTAAACCTGCTCCTTATTTGAGGAAGCTCGATTTTGAAGAATGCGCAAGTCCCGGGAAGACGAGCAGCGACTTTGAGAACCAATTCAGCAGCCTTGAGAAATTCTCCAAAGGCTTGCAGCCAAGTGATACAGAATCTTCTAAGTCTGTCTTTTGGGGTTGTTGGCAGAGGGAAAATTCCGTTGACTCGTCGTGTCCCGGTCCAAGTAAAGAAAGCTCGGTGCAGGAATCCACATCTGCCGATTGTGGGTGGGACAACGCGGACAGCTTCCAGATGTCCAGCGAAGCCTCCATGGACGCAGCTTACTTGGATAAGATCTCAGAGTTGGACTCCATGATGCTGGATGGAGAGAGCTGCAGCAGCCGGGGATCCCAGCTCTCCCTAGGCTCCTCCCCTCTCATAGACTTGGACAGCACTCTTGTGCCAGAGCCCAAAACCTGCCCGGATGCCAAGGCGGCAGTCCAAAGCGAGCCTAAGACCCAGCAACCAGATGACAGTTTGGACGCCCCCCCAAACGCCGATGAAGGTCCCGCTGCTCAGGAGTCGGGGAGGAAAGACGACTCCATCGTGTCCGGGAGCTCAGAGCCCGAAGGGCCGTCTCAGACCGAAGAGCTGTCTTTTGATTTGTTGTTTGATCCTCTTGAAGAGGTTAAGGCCGGTCCCGCTGACTCTCTCAGTCCCACAAACCAGGATCACGTAAACCCTTCCTCCCCTTCCTCTTCCCCTGGCTGCAGTGGCAGTAAACCTGCGAACACAAGAGAGAGACACCCACTGATCAGCAGCCAGCCGGCCAAGAGAAAATCCCACAGTCCCTTTAACTCAAACAGCCCCACCAAACTTTCAAAGCTCATGTGAAGGATTCAGAGATCCAATCGGCGCGTTCTCCATGTCATGTGTCGTGTTCGGGTCAGGTTTCACTACTGCATTTGGTCAGAAAATACTGCTCTATATTCCTCAGAATAAATGAACGGGTTTGATTCTAGGGTGTAACTTATTGTCTCGCCTTTATCATGATTCTGCTGTGATGTGAACTGATGTAAATAAGTGGAAGTCTGTCATAGAATCTAAGCATAGTTTGGGTCACTGGTAGTTGAGCAATGATGAAGGTCTGGTATTACATCCCACAAAATCTGTCTGGACATCACATTCAGTGCCAATACATGTTTGTTTGTTTTGTTTTTTGTCAAATGTAAGACTACGTGTCTGTTGTAATTTCCTGCTATTCAGCAAATGTGATTTCATACAGCACTGACAGGAGGTTAATGCGGTCAACATAAAAAAATGTCCCACGCCGAAGTAAAAAAAAAAAAAAAGAAAAGCAAATTTGTGAGATAGGAAATAAAGATGTAATGCAATGAGATAAAAAGACAAATATTTGTTTTTCTTCATCTCCAATTTCCCCCTCACACATTCAGGTCCGAGGGCAACCACGACTGCGCGGCATTTTGTGAGTTTTCCTTATTTAGTAAAATTGAAATTGTGAAACAACTACTCTTGGATGGGTGGCTTTCCTCATTTTCTATTTTTTTGCTGCATTTTCGGATGATTTACAATACACATTTAGCAGTCACAAATATTAATTGAGGGCCATTAAGAGTAGAAACAGCGTGGCCTGTTCAAGTAGCCTGTAACTACACACATTAGAGACCTCACAGTGGCAGAAAGCTCTTTATTTATTATGCAAATTTAACGATATGGTGTATATTTCACGTACCTCTAATCGCTGCATGAAATTTTAATTGGGCAACCGTTGTGGTTTGATTTAATGAAGTGTTAATTTATTGGGATTAATTAATTTAGGTAAAGGCTGTGCAAGGTTAGGCTGGTGTATTAAATCAATTTGTTTTGTGCTCATCTGGTGATAATGGGCTTTAATAGCCAGGTGATGGTCTCATTATTTACAAGGGTTCAAATGAGAGGGACAGCAAGCAGGAAGAGAGCCTCCTGGCAAACTAACGTGCACCTATCTGACACTAATGTGAATGATAGAATAAGTCAATAAATACATAAAAAAAAGTAATATTTCTGCACTGATGCTTATACATAACGCCTCTCTCTTGTTCCTCTGATTTACATCGATATTAATATAGAAGTGGGCTTTTTCTCACAGGCAGATGCTCAGAAAAAAGGCATTTCTATATTCAGATGGATGGAGTTTGGTTTAAAAAAAAGGAGCTCAGCACCTGCATTAAGTCAGTGGTCGATGGCCTCTGAGGAAAGCACGAGGCCTGAAAGACTCTTTTTTGGATAGAGAGATGCGAAACCTTTAAAAAAAAAAAACACGCAAGCATCTACACTCCAGATGTTATTGCCTGCCCTGTGAGCAGTTTTCATCTGTCAGCCGGTTCACTGTTCTGCCAGCTTCATGTCTCGCGAGAGCAGCCGAGCACGGGCTTGACGAGATCTGAGGCGCTCAGGTGTAAGAGGCTCTCTCATCCCCAGCGCTGGGAAACAGTAGACAGATAAGTGCGTCTGTGAGACTGCAGGCATCTCTGTGATCTCCGGGCTCAAGGCTGTGCGCGGCGCACTACACAGCGAACTCCAGCAGCATCATTACCGGAAAAAGCACAAAAAAAAAAAAGGATCTCAGTGTCTCTATGACTATTTTCCAGCTCTCGTAGCCTGTTTTTTCCCCCCATTCCTCATTCTCTCCCGTGCACTTTAATTGGAGAAGCTCGCCAAGATGATGTCCATGAACAGCAAACAGCCGCACTTCGCCATGCATCCCTCCTTACCCGAGCCGAAGTACACCACCCTGCACTCCAGCTCGGAAGCAATCAGGAGAGCCTGTCTGCAAACTCCACAGGTAAATGATCCCACCAAAACAAAAAAAAGTTTTCTCTTTCTTATTTTCTTTTATCGGGTGTGGATGTGTGCTGTCTGTGCAATAACGAGAGTTGCTCCAAGGCACATTCAGCCAAGACGCGCGCTTAATGTTTTTTTCATGTGGTTCCACAGCAATCATTCGGAGAGTCTTGTGATCTTTTTGAAAGCACGCTCATGCAAAGTCTGCCTCGGCTGTTTTTTTTTTTTTTTTGTATTAATTTTTATGACTCGCCGCCCTCTGAAGGAATAGTCAACTCTGTTATGTGTGGCCAAAAGTCTCAACTGACAGTTTCCATTTACGCTCGTTTCTTTTCTTCTCCGCGCGCCTTTCCCCCCAATTTCTGACTCATTTCGCCCCCCGTTCACTCTCCCCTCCTCATCCCGTTTCCCTTTTCTTTTTGTGGCTCCCGCAGTTGCAAAGTAACATCTTCGCGAGCCTGGATGAGACCCTACTGGCGCGCGCGGAGGCTCTGGCCGCCGTGGACATCGCCGTGTCCCAGGGCAAGACGCACCCGTTCAAGCCCGACGCCACCTACCACACGATGAGCACCGTGCCGTGCTCGTCCACGTCCACCGTCCCGCTGGCCCACCACCACCACCACCATCACCACCACCACCACCAGAACCTGGAGCCGCCGGACATCATGGACCACATCGGCTCGCCGTCCCTCGCCCTGATGTCCAGTGCGCACGACGGGACGGGCGGAGGCGGTGGCGGCGGGGGGGGAGGCGGAGGTGGTGGCGGCGGCGGGGGGCTCCTCTCCACCTCCTCGGCCCACCCGCACGCTCACATGCACGGCCTGAGCCACCTCTCCCACCAGGCCATGGGCATGAACTCGCCCCTCACCCACCACGGGCTCTTACCGGGCCACCACGGCGGGGGCCAGGGCGCACCGGGGCTCACCAACCCGGGCCTTTCCTCCATTAACGACTCGGACACGGACCCAAGGGAGCTGGAGGCTTTCGCGGAGCGCTTCAAGCAGCGCAGGATCAAGTTGGGGGTGACCCAGGCGGACGTGGGCAGCGCCCTGGCTAACCTCAAAATCCCCGGCGTGGGGTCCCTGAGTCAAAGTACAATTTGTCGATTCGAGTCGTTGACGCTCTCCCACAACAACATGATCGCGCTCAAACCCATCCTCCAGGCCTGGCTGGAGGAGGCCGAAGGGGCCCAGAGGGAGAAAATGAGCAAACCGGACATTTTCAACGGAGGGGAAAAGAAACGCAAGAGGACCTCGATAGCGGCCCCGGAAAAGAGGTCTTTGGAAGCCTACTTCGCCGTGCAGCCTCGGCCGTCGTCCGAGAAAATAGCAGCCATAGCCGAAAAGTTGGACCTGAAAAAAAACGTGGTGCGAGTGTGGTTTTGCAACCAAAGACAGAAGCAAAAGAGGTTGAAATTTTCGGCTGCTCACTGATGGGCAAAAGGAAAACAAACAAACAAACAAAAAAAGTGTGACTGAATTTGGGGACCAAGAGACACTAATAAGACACCATTTTCAGTCTTTTGTCTCCAGCGAATTTATATATGTTGGTGCACAATGGGCTTAAGAACCCCATTTTATGAGGCTTCATATATCTTGTTTATTTTCACGTTATCGGTGAATGTGAAGTATGCAAATAACAGATTACACAAATTTCGCTCAGTTGTTACGAGGGAAAAAAGTTTAGCGACGTCGACATTGCCTTTGAAAACACGTGGAAAGAGGTAATTTGTTATTTTCTCCTATAGGCCTATTATTTGAAATATAGCCATTTACGAATTACCTCATTGATTGTTAAACGGTGTTTTTGGTTTGATTTATGTCGTTGTTGGTATAGAGTAAGTCATGGATCTGTTAATTTATTCATGCATTAATTTATTGTTATTTGGAGGCTGCTACGAAGTCAGAATTAGTTGCAAACTTTTATGGCGAACGAAAAAAAAAAAGATTAGGCCTGCATGAAATCTTAATTCACGGGAAGTATTAAGCCTCTCCAGGCTGTCATATCTACAGATATATTATTTTGAATTTGCACAAAAGACCCTCTAGGCTGATAGGTCGGTAATGTCGAAATGGTTTGTATATACAGACATCACTTTATCACTTATAAGAGGTGAGTTCCTGTGTTTTGGAAATAAACGACTAGGGTCTATCGACACCCATTGGCATCGCAGGGAAAGTTGAAAGCAGATCTAAACACAAAAAAACCTTGCGTGCTTCATCCGAGTGATATCACAATAAAAAAGACTCCTTTCATGTGTTTCAGTTTGCAGTGCAAACACTATGCATTGGGGAAAAAAGAATCACTGCTTATGGTAGTGCTGTCTACTGATAGACCTTATTTTGTGGATGGTGTGAGTCACTGTTAAATGCCTGTTTTCACATTGAGATCACCTCGTTGTTTGTCGTGTTAATTGTTACGGAATCGTTGTGTAAGTAATATTTTACTTTGTGCACAAGTATGTTTACAAAATCGGCGACATGCGCATCCTGGATAATGTCCCACTGTCTCCTTCCCTCACTCACAACTTGTCCACTCTCCTCTGTTGTCCTCTTACTTTCATTGGTACTCTTCATCCTGTAAGCCAAAATCCAACGGGGAGGTGTGTTCCAGCAATCTTCTAATAAATCAAAGAAAGAAAACGACGCTGTTCTGGTTGTGTTTGGGCACACACTGAGCACTGTAAATGTTTCATATGATAATGGTGAAATATTTATGGTCACATCTCAGCATAAATCGATATTGTTTGATTTTTAATGTCAGTTTGGATATGATCTGGCAAGGAAAAAATTGTTGCTGTTATTTTGAATTCATTTCGACATAAAGCCCAAAAATCGAAATATTAAGTGAGAGAATACCTTTGAAATAATAAAACTGAAATGCAAACACAGAAATGTAAAAAGCCTTAGAAAATCTTTTTCATGTGAGTTATGATTGAAAAAAAGCACGTGATGATGTACCCTTTTTATAAATGCAATTCATGGGTATTTGCATACATAAATTCTTACCTATGAATTGATTCTTTTTTATTAGCAGCAGGAAATAGGTGAGGAAGGCCTTCCTGCACAATCAACATTTGATGAAGTTCCACAGCAGTCAGAAAGACACACTGCTCCCACAGAAAGAATGGATTGACAAGAGGAAAAAAGAAATTATATATATGCTTATTTTGGTTATTGTAAGTTTCTTTCTAGTCTTGCAGTATTTCTGTTCAATCCTAACCCGTTGGTATTATTTCACCCCTTTTTTTGGTCGGTTTTATTTAGCTTGAATTCATGTCTTTGAAGGCGTTTTTTTTACAAGCATGTAATGCAATATTAATCACGGTTTTCTGATATAAAATGCAATATTTTCAGTCAGCTTTCGGGGCTTTCAGGGATGCAGGCGGCTGAAGGAGGTCGCTGTTAAACAGCAGAGAAGGCAGCCTGCTTATTGCTTCTCTTTAGCTTTTGGCACAGACGCGACGTGACCAGTTCCAAAACGTGAGTATGTCTCGTTTTTTGTTTTTGTTTGTTTGCTAATTTTGTTACGTTTTACAAATTTTGATAATCATTGACATTAATGTGTTTATAATTTCATCATTTTCAAATCCACTCGTATCTATTATTTCATTTGTTCACAAATCTATTCTGCAAACAAACAGCCATAACTAAGGTTATTCTTTATGATCAAGGATATGTTTACCTTGTGGTTAATTGTGTAATATTGGAAAGTATGAGATTTTCATATATATATATGTGTGTGTGTGTGTGTGTATGTATTATGTATCATATATATGAGTGTATACTATCTATCTATCTATCTATCTATCTATCTATCTATCTATCTATCTA